GCTTATGCAGATGCAGAGCTCCCTGCTTCTCAATGACTCCCATGCCATTTAAGGACAGCTCTGAACTTTAGACCAGTAGTTGGCGTAGTGGCTATGTCACATGGACTCCCATGTTGACTGTGGTTCGAGTCCCGGACCCAGTGGCTTTAACTAATGCCGGGCACGTGTGCGTGCATGCCCAAGATCCTAAGAGGAGAATGGAGGAGAATGGAGGAGAAGGGATTGTGGCGTGGCCATCCCCCTGGGGGGGGGTTTCTTGCTTTCTGTCTCTCTGTCTCTCTCTTTCTGGCGAGTGCACATGTCCTATAGCAAAAACCTCTCCAAAAAAAACAAAACAAAACAAAAACTTTAGACCGTTCTTCTTTTTATTGAACCAAAAGTACCTCCCTGTAATTTCCACACTTCGACATGATGCTGCCCTATGTCTGACTGTGAGCATTGCAGAATAAAATCAATACTATATTCTAGGTCACCGCCCTTCTGACGTTGCCCTTCCTCTGGGAGCTTATTTTAATAACACAATAGAGTTTATTTCTAGAATGGTTTTAGAGTTACAGAGAACCTGAGCAGATAGTACAGAGAGTTCCCATGTCCCACTCTCCCCCTGCACCAGTTTCCCCCATCCGCCATGGTAACGCCTTACATTAGGAATGATGCACTTGTTATAAATAAGGAACAGATGTCGATGCTTATTGTTAACCATACTCCATTCTTAATGCAAATTTCCTGAAGTTTAACTTAACGTTCATCATCTGTTCCAGGATCCCTGTCAGGAGACCACATTACACTTAGTTGCCATGTCTCTTTTGGCTCCTCTTTTTATAAAAAAAAATTTTTAGGGGCCAGCAGGTGGCATGGTGGTTAAAGTGTTGGACTCCCACATGGCCAACCATGGCTAGAGTCCTGGACCTGGTGGCTTGCTTTCTCAGTGCCCCTCCCCTCTGTCTCTCTGTCTGGTCAAATTGAAGAATAATAATATTTAAATTAAATAATTCTTAAAAAATGTTTAATATTCTACTTCTTTTCTCTCGTTACATTAAATCATTTTATGTTTTATACAGCATACAATATGGGTTTTCAAAGTATAAATGCATTATATGTCAAGGTAATATTACTGAAGATATTACTGTACACAAGAACTTTGCATTTGTATGTCTGTTAAATGCTGTTTTTTCCCCCTCCTGAGTCCCTCCTTTCCACACCCAACTGTCCACCCCCCTCCTATGCTTCACTGGGGCAGTTTCTCAGACCTTCCTTGTTTTTAATGACCTTGACAACTTTTTTTTTGGAGAGATTTTCGCTATAGGGCGCGTGCGCTTGCCAGACAGACAGAGACAGACAGAGAGACAGAAAGCGAGAAATCACCCCCAGGGGGGATGGTCACATCGCAATCCCTTCTCCTCCATTCTCCTCTCAGGATCTTGGGCATGCACGCACACGCGCCCGGCGTGAGTTTTAAGCCACCGGGTCCGGGACACGAACCACAGTCGACTCCGTGGGAGTCCAGCAACATAGCCATTACGCTAACTGCTGGTTCCCAATGACCTTGACAATTTTGAGGAGTGCTGGTCAGGCATATTATAGGATGCTTCTTGCAGGATTTGTCTCATTTTTCTCATGAGGTGATGGGGGTATAGATTTTGGGGAAAGCATGCTGAAGTAAAGTGCCATTTTATCGCATCACATTAAGGGTGTATCTTATTGGTGTGATTTGTGACCTCTGAGGCTGACCTTGATCCTCTAGCTGATTTCACGTCTGTCTGGTTTCCTCACTGCAGAGACTCTTTTTCCCCTTTCCAGACTATTCTTTTTTGGAAACCGGTCACCCTGAACAGCCCACACTTAAGGAGCGGAGTATCTGCGTAGCTTATAAGGAATTCTTCCACGGGGCAGCTTTGCCGCTTCTCTTTCATATGCTACTTAACTTAGATGAGCATAGACTCCTGGGTATTTATTTTTACGGGAGTTATAGTCCATTACCACTCTGTTGTCACCAGAGCTTTGGCCATCGACTGCACCTCTACTCCTTTGACGTGGCCCCACCAATGTGGGTTTTTAGTTTTTTTAGTGCTCTTTTCCTTTCATGAATGGCAAGATGCTCAAAGACTAACCTTTATCTCTTGCTTTTTACCTAGAATCGGTCAGTTCTCCAAGGAGCCCTTGTTCCCATTACTGCAGAAAGATATTAGAAGCCAAAATCTGGGTGCTCAGTGTGCTTGTTTATACTGGAGTGTTATTTCTTTTAGGCGCTCTCAGCTGACAGAACAAGGAAATGTGTGTGTGCGTGTGTGTGTGTGTGTGTGTGTGTGTGTACGCAACTAATCTATAAATAGCTCTATATGGAGTCATCTGTGCTGAGTGAACCATCAGACCTAACAGTAATGTTGATTTGACCATGCTGATCTGTGAATTTCTACCCCAACGGTCAGAAACCTGTTTCCTATCATTTGTCATCCCTTGCTTATTGTTCGTTCTAGTACACACGTATGACAGTATCAGACCCATCAACCCCTCGGAAGTTCTGTCTTGTGTTTTCCTCTCTCCGATTAAATATCCTCATCTCCTTGAACCATTTTTGGTTCCACCTCCATCAGTGCTTCACCTTGTTCATCTACCTTCAATTCTGAGTCCCTGGTTTTCCTGTTTGATGGGAAATGAGCAAAAATTGCTCTTTCCATTTTGCGAATGAGGAAAATGAACCCTAGCAAATGTTTACCCTTAGCAAATGCAAGTCACTGGTTTAAGCTCTCTACACATGTTAGCTCTCTGAATCCTCACAATAGCTCCACGGGCTGATACTGAAATTACCCCACATTACAAGAGGAAACACATTGAGGCTGGGATTCAACGCACAAGGCTGTGACTCCAGAGTGCATTCGCATGGACTAATTTATACCCCATTGCTGCTAATGGGGTCTTTTGCACACTGCTTGGTACATGTAATCCCAGCCATGTAAACTGTCATTGATTCACTGTTGCCCACAGAGTAAATACCAAGTATGTTAGCCTTGCTTTCAGTGCTTTCTACAATCTAGGCCAACCCCTTGTTCTGGCTTAACAGCACAAGCAGTGGAGACCCCAGAGCAGGCCCGGACACTTGTTCCCCCTAGTGAGCATGCTCTCTACCTTTGATCTCAGTGGAAGCCCAGACTAGGCACCACCCATTCCACCAGGGCAGAGTGCATATGCAGTGGCCTCTTTCTTCTTTGTTGACACTCACTGTTCATACCTTTTGTTTAGTGGGTATTTAGTCTGGGTTGTATTTTGTCAATACACTTTTTATTTATTTGCCTAGTTCCCCACTACATCCTCAAGGCAAGCTTGTCATTATTGGTGATGCTTATGAGAGTTAATCCTCACAAACTTACTGGATGAGAAGTTGAGGCTCAGTAAAATTTGCGATCACAGTATTTGCTCATGTGTCATCACCGTTCACTCGGTAGACACCAGCTCCTGCATACAGCACGCATGCGCGTGTTAGCCAGTGTTTGAGGTCATGGCCTCCGCTCTTCTAAGCAGTCTTTGCTCCCTCAGGCCGCCTTACTCAAAGAGGTCAAGATGAACTATTGTAAATAGTTCCTGTCATTACTGCTCTATGGAGGTGTGCTGCATAATATTAAGTTAAAATGCTGTGCCCGTTTCTTTTTTCTTCTCAGGTTTTTTGTCACAAGGTATGTGTACTCACTAGACAGGAGAGAGACAGAGAGAACAAAAGTGAGAAATCACCCTCCCCTCCAGGGAGGATGACCACGCCACAATCCCTTCTCCTTGGTTCTCCCGTTGTGATTTTGCACACACTCATCTATACACCCATCATGATTTTCAAGCCAGTGGGTCCAGAACTCATTGTGGTTGGCCATGTGGGAGTCCAGCACCTCAACCACCATGCCACCTGCTTATAACAACATGGCCAACTATTGTAGAGCTGGACCTGACCTCAGCTGTGTCTCATGCTTACCCAAACGTCCTTCAGCTTTCTAGGGAGGGTCTGGAAGAAGGAGGAGAACCCCTGGGTTCTGCTTCAAAGGGGGAACCTAGACTCAAGCTGTAGCCTGTTGTTTGCAATATACAAATATATAATTTTTCTCTTTACCTTAATTTTTAATCTCGTCCCAAACAATAACAACCATGAATAACTAGTTTAATATGCTGGTTGCCATTTTTCAAATGGATATTAAAATAGATGAATAACACAGATAAGTGTTTGTGGATGACACAGTTATGTCACATACCACCATGGTGTGCCTGCCACTCTTTGCATGCACCGTTGCCGTATTTTTCCTTCCCAGCTTTTCTGTTGATAGATGTGAAGTCCATTCTGATCAGATCACTGGTGTTGGGCTGGGCACCTATGTTCTGGTGGCTTTCTCTCAGGCACCTTTGGAGACACAACAAAGGTGAAAATAGCAAGGGCAGGGCTATGGACATTTTCTTTTCTAAAGAGCAAGAGCAGCTCACCTTTTATTCTTTCCCATAACCAGGGATTCTAGTTAAGTTTTCTTTTGGAAGAGGTCAACAGGTGGCATAGTGGTTAAAGTGCTGGACTCCCATATGGCTGATCACAGTTCAAGTCTCAGACCTGAAAACTTGCTTTCTCACTTTCCCTCTCTGACTCCCTCTGTCTCTCTCTGGTGAATTAAAATAATAAATAAATAAATAAAAATTAAGTAAGTTTGAAAAAAATATTTCTTTTGAGGAAAAAAAAAGAGAGTTCTTTTGATGCTTTTTTTCCCCTTAGGTGTGAAGTCATAGAAAAAGTCAATCCAGGATTAACACTTGTGGAGTGAACTTCTGTTTGAGTAGTCATTTGAGTAGTCATCCATTCATACATTGCTTGAGGACTTCTTTGAGCTTTTTCTATCTCTTCCTACCCTTGAGGTCAGGAGAGGTGGCTTCAAATGTACCTTGTTTATTGAAATGAAAGAAAAGGAATGTCTGGATAGCTTGGGATGGAGGGTGCCACATCAAGCTCTCTCCTGATTCTTCTCCCCTTGATCCAGGTTGAGAGTAAGCCTTTGGTTCAAGTTCAGAAGTCACCTTCCAAGACCAAGAACCCCAGAATGACCCGATATTTGCGTAAGGTAGGAAGTGATGGTTAACGCCTTTTCTTTAAGAGAGAATGAGGACAGGTGAATGGCCAAGATAGTTTTTAATAGATATTTTTCGTCAACACAGCATAACATGAAGAGAGCACGCTATCACTATCCCCATGCCCCATCTCCACACAATTTTAAATGTTAATATTCATTGACAAACTACCTCTTTTGTGATCAATCAATCAATGAATCAATAAATGCAGGGGAGCAGAGATCCAAGTCAATAATGTAACCACATGGCCAACTACTGTTGGAATCTCTGCCCCAGCAGCTTGAAAGACACGCTGGATATGTGTGCATGTGTGCCAAAAATCCCAACAGGATGGAGGAATAGAGGAGAGGGGATTGTGCGTGTGACCATACCTCGATGTGGGTGCTTTCTTCCTCCTCTCTTTCTCTCTGGCAAGCACATATGTCCTCTGGCAATTAAAAAAATAACATAACCGTAAGAGAAATGGGAGCTTATGTTGCACCAAAGAGGGTTTGCATTACATAGAAAAACTGTCCCATGTTAAGCAATTATTGAATAGAACGGTAATAACAGTGACGAGCACTATGGAATCTACGTAAGTTGCCTCGTTTACCTCACAAAAGCCTTATGAGGTAGATCCCATTTTTGTCCCCATGGTAGCAATGAAATAACTGAAGCTACAGAGTCAATGCGTCCTGCTCAGGGGCTACATGCAGTAAGTGGAGGAGCAGGTGTTCAAGCCCAGAACCCAATCTCCTTGATTACTCTGCTGCCCTGAAATCTGCTTTTTTTTTCCCTCCAAGAACTTCAAGAATAGGTTAAGGCCCAGACTTGGGTTAGGCACATCTTTGTTGTGAGAGAAGGCTAGAAGAAATGGCCTAAAGACATTTCTTGCCTGAGGCTTCTGTGGTTTATCCTATTTTTCCTCTCGTAGAATACAAACACCAGTTTTACCGCACTCCCTTTTGTGGATACCAAGGGGAAGAAGAACATGGTTAACTTCCCACGTATCAGCAACAAAATCCTGC